AAGATTACACCAGCACGCGCTAACTTTGGGTTTAATCCTAAAGCATACCAAACACCGATACCACAGGAGGTTAATGCCGAATCAGCAATAATACAAGTCGAACAATTAAAGGATTTACAAGAGCAGCTTGCTCTCGATCTAAGATTCATATCATCCAGAACAGCAGCGTACTACAATACGAAACGTAGTATGGAACCTACGCTTAAAGAGGGGGATAAAGTTTATTTGCTACGACGAAACATTGAAACCAAAAGACCAAGCAATAAACTCGACCACAGGAAACTAGGACCATTCAAGATTGACAAGGTAATAGGAACCGTCAATTATCGGTTGAAACTACCAGACACAATGAATATCCACCCAGTATTCCATATATCTTTACTCGAACCAGCACCACCAGGAGCGCCGATTGCGCCACTCACGGAAATCGAACCAGTTAACCCTAACGCCATATACGATGTCGAAACAATACTAGATTGTAAATACGTCAGAGGCACGGCCAAATACTTAATCAAATGGTTAGATTATCCACATACCGAAAATTCATGGGAACCGAAAGAAGACCTCAGCTGCCCTGAGAAGTTACAGGCGTTCCACCTGAGGTACCCACACCTGCCAACAAAGCCTCGACCTCAGCATCGGACATCACTGGTAAAGAAGAGAAATCAAAAGAGGAAGGGCTAGTAGGGTTCGCCGCTGCCACCGCCGCCGCGTCCGCCTTTTCCTTTTTAACACGTTCATTTTCCAACCTTTCCTCTTCTTCTAGAGCATCGAGCTCATCCAATGTGCGAAGATCACGACGAATCATTTCCCGCTCCCGTTTCCGTAAAAAAGCCTTTTGTTTTCGCAAACGCAGAATTTTAGCCATCGCCTCCTCCTCCTCGGCATCTAGCTTCTCGCGCTGTTGCTCAATGGATTCATAGCCGGAAGGCATCTCGATACCAGGACGACAGCGACCTTTTTTAACGAATACACTCAGAACAACGAGCCGATAATCCAGGATCCACAACACACAAACGTTGAGATTGATTACATAAATCGCAGGGATCGCGCTCTTTACCAGTACGAGCGACACTACGGGATAAATGTAGAGAATCGTGAACAGATAAAGATTTAATAGCAGGCATAATGAAATAAACACAACACTCATTAAAGTCATACAACTAGGTGGGGAAACCACGCTATATACACGCTTGGGACAAGCGCTAGTATAGGAAGGGGATAGTGTTACGACGGATAACAAGAACTACAGGATTAGCATCACGTGACCATAAAAGCCGACAATCGAAATCGACTTTCGACTTTCGACTTTCGAAACTCGACCATCGGCTTTCGACAATCGACTCAAGAGTTAACAGAGCAGGAAGGTCTATATAAGGGAACAGGATTTCATTACAATGTAGAGCTTCGTGCTCAAGAACAATCATTAGTTTCATTACTATAGTTACGAGAATTGCAACCAGTTACAACCTTATTGAATTCCTACTTGAAGTCTAGTCTAAACCACCTCGAGAGATCTCTAGACACTTCCACGTGACCCTAGAGGCAGCTCCCGTAACAATAGGTTCTATGAAGAACAAAGAATCTGCAGGCGTTCTGAGGTTTGGCTTGTTATGAGCCTTATCGTTGTGATAGGCGTATTTAGTAGGTGGGGGAAGCTCAAATACTACCTACCACCACGCCTTTCACTTGACAACCTCCCGATCCACATCTTCAGCACAAATGTTTGGAGTCGGCTTGTACCTTCATTGGGATTGGAATTGCCTTGACTTGGCAAAAGAGTCATCGATGGTTGTCATCATGTACGGAGTACTGAACGTTTGTCATCCTTCCACACTGTGATGGTCCAGACCATTCATTATTGCTTCTCCACCAAATGGTTATCGATGACTCCTCATTAGTATAATAGAGTTCATGTTCCCCTCATTTTCTTCACTTCACTGTTCATATCTACACTTCATTACTTCACCAATTACCGTCAAAGTTATCAAAATGGGAGAATTGCATACAAAAAAGTTTGGGGAAGCTTCCCTGAACGACTCAAAAACATATCAAGCAACGCCTTTTGGCAAAGAAATGGCCAAGCACTTCCTTTTCGAACCAGGCTGGAGGAATTTGAATCATGGTATACTTATCCAATCCCAACCCCCTTCCCCCTTTCCCCGCCCCCAATTCCAATTACCTAGCTCACGAAATTAGGTTCCTTTGGTACTATTCCTCGTGCCATCCGTGAAAAGCAAAGACAGTATCAAGATGATTCGGAAGCTCGTCCAGATGAGTTTATCCGACATACATACCCTCGGATCCTCGATGAGTCACGAGAAGCTTTGGGAAAGCTTCTCAATGTTCCAACTGACACTGTGGTGTTCGTACAAAATGCGACTACTGGAGTCAATACTGCATTAAGAAATTTGGTGTGGAATGAGGATGGAAAAGATGAAATTCTCTACTTTTCTACAATATATGGTGCTTGTGGTTTGACGGTATGTACTACCCAAAAAACCTCAGTGTGATTCTCCATGACTGCTATCGATTGATAGTTCATCATTCAACATTAAGTCTAACTTCTACTCGTGTTATAGATCGAATATGTTTCGGAAGCCAATCGCGGCCTGGTCCAGCCCAGACAGATTACTTTCCAATATCCCATTGAGGATGATGAACTCGTTGGACTATTCGAGAAGGCAATTGAAGCCTCAAAAGCAGAAGGCAAACGTCCTCGAGCTGCTGTATTTGACATAGTAGGATCACTCCCTGGATTGAGAGTTCCTTACGAGAAATACATCGAGATCTGCAAAAGGGAAAGCATGTATTCCATCGTTGACGGAGCCCACGGAATCGGTCACGTTTCACTCGATCTATCAAAGATTGATCCTGATTTCTTCGTCAGCAATTGTCACAAGTGGCTCTTTGTCCCAAGAGGCTGTGCAGTATTTTACGTTCCAAAACGAAACCAGGATCTAATGAGAACAACCTTACCTACATCACATGGCTTCGTTCCTAAAGGACCTAGGCCATTCAATCCGTTACCGCCAAGCGCCAAGAGCGTGTTTGTTAACCAATTCGAATTCGTTGGTACGATTGACAACAGCAGTTATCTCTGCACCACCGAAGCAATCAAATGGCGCAAAGAAGTTTGTGGTGGGGAAAAAGCCATCATGGACTACTGTAGCAATTTATCACGAGAAGGTGGTCAAGCCATCGCAAAAATATTGGGTACAAAGGTTCTGGATAATAGTACCAACACATTGACAGATTGTTGTTTTGTCAATGTATTACTGCCATTGGAAATTGGAACATCAAATATCGCCGCATTCTTCAAGATCAATGAAGATACCAAAATGCAAGCTTACCATTGGATGTTGAAAACGTTGATAGAAGAATACAAAACATTTGTCGCCATAGCATTCGTGGACAATAAATGGTGGGCTAGATTAAGGTATGTGATAATTCATCTGTTCTTTGATTCGTGATTCGTACCTTCACAAAAGCTTTTCCACATCATATGTTTAAAACCTCGTGTTCTGCAACAAACTAACAGTCCACTCTCTTACAGTGGACAAGTATATCTCGAAATGGAAGATTTTGAGTGGGCCGGCCATACACTTAAAGAACTGTGCGCACGAGTTGGGGATGGCGAGTATTTGAAGAAGGGAGAATAAACTTATTTCTTACCATTCTATGCCTTTTCCAGAATTAAAACGTGGGGTTGGATGGTGAAACACCAAAATATTAGTTTGAGCTTTGGTATGATTTTGGCGTGGTCAGACTCTGAAATCGGTCCCTGTATGCTTCGGTCCCGCATTGTCAATTATCTTTTTGGCCCTGTCTTCAATACTTTTCCAGGAACGCAGAAATACTTGTGATGTTGGTCGCCATCGCCATCGCCATCGCTATCACTGTCGATGTCGCTGTCGCTGTCGCCAACTTCGAAATCTTCTGATGGAGATCTCGATACTTAATTGTACCTCACATTGTCGTTCTGAACAAATCCTAACCTTATACTTGGTATCTACGTAATCACCTGTCTCAAATCCATTTCCTTTCACCTCAAGGCACTTTTTTACCCGGTCTCTTCCCCAAATAAAATTTCACAACACCTTACAACGCATCACGATATAACAATATCACAATATCACCAAAGCACCTCAGTCTAAACTTTGCCTTTCACTTCCCTATAGTATCACGCCCCACTCAATGGTTCCAAATAGATCATTGAGCACGAGCATTGCAATTTTTCACCACCTTTTTTTGAGTGCCGTTTGCAGCTCTGACGCTCTTTTTCAGATATGGATCTGCGCAGGGACAATCGTACGCATGGCTAATTAGTGCACATCATTTTGTCGTTTGTAAGGCATTCTGTTCTTCCGCAAGACTTCTTTCTCGGTGGCAGGGAAGCAGAAAGTCCCTGGAAATGATGCACGGATGGAAATGCTGCTAGGAAAAATTTATCTCCAGTGACCATATCAGATATATTTGTGTGCGTTCCTGCATCATTGAGTTTAGAGTTTCTTCCAAAAGTTTTTTCTGACCTGTTTTTACTTTCGTTCCTGTTAACATTACATGCAGTGCTGCTTTGCGGGTTGTAAACTTTGATTTCTGGTAAATCAAATGATCTGCTCTCTAGCCAAATCTTATCTATACCTTCATACATTTATTGCACTTTCGCACTTACAATATCCCCGGGTTATTTACTTGTTTATTGTTTCCTGTTTCCTGTTTACTACTTTACTGTTCACCGAAACAAATTGAATCCATCAAGAGCTCTTTGATTACTTGAATCCTGTCAAACTTGGGATATTGTTTCATCGATCCGAAACCTGGAAACATATTGCCTTTAAGCCTGTCTGTTCGAAACTCAAAATATCAAAGAGTGGGCTTTGACAGTTCCATTTCTCTTTCGACAGAGAGTCCTATATCTACATAAAACTTCTCTTCATCCTTTCAAATACTATAAAAATCCATTCGACCACTCGACCATACGACACTCCGCCACCATCATGTATTCGCAAAACACCTACACCCCTATGCCCGAGAACGCTGAGGATGGCTGGCCCTTGAGATTACGCCGGCTTAGTCGCTCTGTTCTCTCCCGCCCTTCTCAAAAGCCCTCTGGTTCTCGAAAGGCACCTCCTCATCTCCACGATCGACCTATCTTAGTCGGAAACTCGGAGTCAGAGTTGTTAGATATATTATCTTCGACAATCAATACCACACCTGCTCTCAACGCTAGACCCGTGCATCAACATCAACGTCAAAATACTCTGGAAGATCCTAGAAGGTTCAATGTTCTTGATCATAAAGCGCCTCAGAAGTCCGTTTTGTTCAGAGCCAGTATATTTGGAAGTCTCAAAAAGAGAAAGGCTACTCGGCCAAGTACCAGTCCCAATTCAGCCCTCGCGACCAGAGAAACACCCACACAGTGTAGCATCAATCGGGAACGTACGTCTCTGGACATGGTCAATAACCACACTTCCAATCTCTATAATGATTCCAGACCTGCAACACCGAAACCCAAGAGCAAATCTAGGGACAGTTCTCCTGTCCGCGCAGCAAAATCGATGGGAAGAAAATTATCAATGAAATTTTCGAGAAAGGTAAAGAAAGCAGAAAACGAAAAGGCAGAAAACGAGAAAGCAAAAATTATGACTACGGAAAATGATACGGAAAAAAGTATAAGCTATCCAATTGATATCAAAATGGTGATCCCGGATCCTGTAGAGCTTCACCCCGCGGTTGTAGTTGAAACACCTACATCTGAACTTTCGTTTCAAGAAAGGCCTCTACGAAGTAATCTCTCCCGTAAAGATCTTCGACGACCCAACACATCCGCATCAACTTCCACCTCAATTTCAAATTCAGCAGCATCAACTTATGGTATTGCACCTCTATCAATCAAGAAAGCATACTCCACTTCAACTCTTCGAAGTAATCAAAGAATTGCTACGGACCTCCCGGTAATGGAAGCACAGGTACTTCGATCACCACCGCCCAATTACCACGCTTCGATGGATTTTCCTATGAAGTTAGATAAGGTCCCTGAAGTCGATTTAGCTCAACACCCTGCCCTTTCTCGTGTATCAACATCTAGAGCATCTCAATCACAGCCTGAGTTGGAGCGATATACTACCTCTTTTAATAAGTCAGTGTCGAACGAATTTCAATCTGAAGCCGAATTCACCTCCTCTGTTCGGCCACAAACCCGCAACAGTAATGCACCTCGTCCCTCTATGTCGACAACTGTTCGTCCCTCGCTCGATCCTTGTGGTACTTATGAGATAACATCCGAAAACACCCATGATACTGTCGCTCCCCTCCTCATCCGCAAGGGACCTGATGACACGACCCCAAAACGTTTATCTTCGCTCAGGCGCTCGCTCTCAGACTTCAAGTCATCACGCTCTACACCTACTCGTTCCCAAACACAAGGGGTTGATCTTTCTGAACAAATGGGTCTAACCCCAAAGGTAGAACGCTCAAGCAGCACGCGCTCGAAAACTTATTACACGTTAGGGAGTACAGAGGCAGCCGTTCCAGGCGTAAGCAGGAGTGCGACTGTTAAAAACGCGAAACGCAATTCAACGTTGTCAAATCGAAGACAATCACATGCTTCTATTGAAGCTCCTCTTTCTGTTTTGCCTTCTCCTACATCTTCCGAACCCCGAAATTCTATTGCAACTATCAGAACTGTACCCTACGAGATAGAATTTCTACCCATCAAAGCCAGTCCGAGTCGTGTGAAGAACGCTCCTAAACCTGATACATTGCGATCCCAAATCAACGCTCCGGTTCTGATTGAGGAGAAGAAACGTGCCCAAACACCGCGTCGATCTAAGAGACCCGATTACTTGAAGATGTTCGATGTGCCTAATTTGATGATGGATTGTGGGGGTTATGACGAGTATAGTTATTCCGAATATACGTACTCTGAATATGCGCCGTACTCAACGGGAGAGATGATCAAGAGAGTTTCCATGACGGTAACAAAACAGTGCTCTGATTCTGGAATCTCGAGAGATGGAGAATTTGAGAAGTTTATGGAAAATGCGAAGAAGGTGGCTAGGGAAGAGAAACCGAGGGTGATGGGGAGAGATGGGGTTGTGGGGGAGAATATTAGGGGGATGGAGAGGAAGAGAACTGTTTGGGGGAGTTTGAGAAGAAGGGATCGTTATGAACCGAAGGCTGTGAGAGCTTGAATGCAGAGTTATGAGGTATATCATTCGTGCTTGGTCACGATGAGAGATTGAGAGTTGGTGCGGAGCTGTAATGGCAGTAGTTGTGATTCCACAATTTTCCTTTGTTTTTGCTAATATAATATCCTGTTTGTTTACTCGATTCACATTCTGTTATATATCAACACTACTAGTATATTCATACTTTTTATTTGTCATCTTACTATAATCTATAAAGATTTGTTAAAGGTCATAATCGTGTATTGGTGCATTTTCCAATAGTTACGCATGCAATGGTCCGTGTCAATATTAAATCGTGCTGAACCAGAGATGAAATTTCTTCATCTCTTCCTTGATAAAGTTACCAATAGATTCAGTTGCGGTGAAGTTGAATCATCGTGACAGCCAAAAGCATCCTTTCGTGTTGGGTAGAATTGGTGGCTGAGATGTTCCATTTCGAATTTTCCTCGTCATTACACTTCTCATTGAAAGCGAATTGAAAGCGACGGACATTTAGAATGGAATATTCCAAAATCCTAACTTAACTCTAAACTACAGATGGTGATACGCTTTTGAATCTATGGCTGAAATAATAATCGAGAATAGTCTTCCATTCGAAGGGTGGCTGTGGAAAGAAAAGACAGCCACTATTTACAGTTCTGCAAAGAACAAAGAAAAGAGAACCCCTGTTTCAACACCTTCTGTTCCCGCCTCAGGAAATGAACTCACAATCATGATGTTTCTGAACCTGTTCTTCAGAAGATGCATATGTATGCTTTGGATGAACTATTGGGTTCATCTTTTTGAGTAAAGAATTAAGAAACACAGTGAGACCAGATAGAACTCTGAAGAACTTTCACTAAAAGAATGGAAGAAACATCCAAACATTTGAAGTTCTCATATCTATAAAGTAACTCCCAGAACCGCTCAACTATCAAAATCCAGCAACTCAAAGGACATCACAAGTTCACAACACACAGCACACAACTTCTCAACCATGGTCTACGTTAAAATCTCAATCAGCGTTAGCCGGGACATCGAATGCGATTGCACAACCAGATACAACGGACTCAGTCACGAAGCTGTCTTCCAACGCCGCTTCAACCCCGAAACCAACGACTTATACGTCGATAATCCCGCCGACATTCTCGGTGCACTCGGCTGCTGCGGTGCCCTCAAACTTAAATCTCGCAATGCAGAAGGCGAAATGACTATTGACGAAGGATCACACGTAGTTGCCATCGACAGCGCATGCAGTGCCAACGGAAAAGAGCCTGTTCGAGCTGCGTATGGTGTTTATGTGGGTGACAAGACACCTAATTGTGTTTCTAAGCTTCTCGACGAAGATCTCCCACAGACGACTCTAGTCGCCGAACTAGTCGCCGTGCGTGTGGTTTTGAGAATGGCTGAGCAAGTTCTCGATGCGTATATTGCGCGGGGTGCAAATGATGAGAATGATATGGATGCACCGAGAATCTCTAAGATTCTCATTCTTGCTAATTCGGCATATGTCGTCGATGGATTCACGGATTGGATTTTCAAGTGGAAGGGAAATGGATTCAAGACTTCGACTGGGAAGCCGGTGGTTAATGCGGAGATTTTCAGAGAATTGGAGGCTTTGATTGAGAAGTTTCATCAGTTTCATATTCCGGTGTGGTTTTGGCTGGTGAAGAAGGAGTTCAATACGTCGGCGGATGCGTTGGCTAGAACGCCAATTTATGGTGAGCAGAAGGTTCCGGCATTGGTCCCGTTTGTTAGGGATTTTAAGAAGTTTCCGAAGAGGTGTTGAAGGGTGTTTGGGAGAGAGGATTAGTGAGAGAGGGTTAGTGATATTGTCAGAAAATTGTTTTGCTTGGGTCGGATATGATTATTACGGGATATTGTTTGCACCGAGGTAGTTTTTTGTGGTTTATGGTCAGAGAAATTTCGTTGAGTCGGGAAGCAGGTGGTTGATGGGCGTTAATTTTAATTAGACTTTTGGTTTCGTACATTTCATTCATTATCTTTTACTATGAAAACTTTATCTTGAATATAGTTACATTGCAACTTTGACATTACTTATAACATGCCATTGTTAGTGATTCTGAGTAAACTCGAGGAAGCCTGTTGTTTATGACCAATCTTTCGTGACCTGTTGAATTACCCCCCGTACCATTCATTACACCCAACAAGCAAGGAAAGAATGACTATTGTCTACCGATGCTAGCCTATGATTACCATCTTCCCTAGGCTAACATGCAATTTTAGGGGGAACGTACCTCCCATTTTCAGCTGCTTTCCCAAGCAACTCGACTCGTCAGACGAGCTTCACGTGAGGGAAGAAACTTGGGGATTAGCGCAAATGAATCGTCGGGGGCTCGTTATATAAAATTCAGTATGTGTCTACCTTCGTAAATCACTTGGATGTCATGAACGCTTCAGGTGAGTCTTTACTTCCTTAATCTCATTGCGTATTGGTAATGGGAAGGTGGCAATTGCTCGCTGCTAAGCTTTGTTTACAAAAAGTACTTTCGAAATTCATTTCCATTCTCTCAACTAATTGCACTTCTTCAAAAAGATTGCAGCATTATATTCAATTTTGGAAGATTATACGTGCTTTACTTGTGTCTTCAGGATACTTCATTATGACTGACCGATTTCCCATCGTCGATATTTGGAAGTCTTACAAAGAGCTGGAAAAGAGGTTTCTCGGGTGGCTCGTGAAAACAGCATCTGCAACAGAACAAGATCTTGAGTTCCCTGAATCTACGCCTCGACTTAAATACATCAAGAGACTTACAGAGGTTGTCATTAGCGAGAGACATGAGCTACCAAGTAATGTGCGAGACGATCTAGCTCAAGTTATATCTAAGCGCAAGGAGGCAGCGAAATGGTATGGACGTTGCAAACGGGAAGATCAAGGCCACAAGCATTATCTGGATACACTGCAAGGCATATTGCAACTATTCGAGGATCTCTATTCCAAGGACCCAAATGTGGCACTGGATGACGAAACTAATCGGAACCCCCAAATTGATTCAGAGACCACCAATGATGAGGGAGTCACCAATAACCAATTCGGTAACTTGGAGATTGAAAGTACTCACATGTCATCCTCTGATTCGGATAGTAATGGAGAGAGAAATTCAACTGGTGGTAGTGCAAGAAATTTCAGAAGGCCAAAAGCAAAGAAGAAGGGAAGGAATGGTAAAAATCCAAAGAGTGGAAAGATCAGACAGAACGCAATGGAGATACCGACTGAAGAACAAACTACACCATTAGAAGTAGATGCTTCCGATCCCTTCGACGAATACCTGAGAGTTTACTTCTTTCTCAAAGATATGAATGTCATGAGAAATTATGTACTCGAACAGTGGAACGATTACTCGATCGAACTTCTCAGTCTAGCAAACGTCTCGTTTGTAACGAATCAAGCGATGGTACTTGTCAAGTGGGCCGAGGAAGGTTTGCTTTCCAATCTACCAAGTGATGAACAGAGCTATGAAGGCATTGCAAATATCATGTGCCCGGATGTCAACAAGTTGATGGAGAAAATCAAGAAAGCAGGTGCCACTGACTTCAACGAATTGATGCATCTCGAGGATAAAAGTGACAAAAGCCAAGAGCATAATGCTGTGGTTAGAACTGAGGTTAGTGCATCTCAATATTAATTGTATAAAGTGTTTCACATTTGTACACTCGATACTCATGAGAAAACGAGGAACTCATCATCCATTCGAATCAAAATGGTTCAAATCACACAAGTGCTGATGTCTAATTTCCTTTCTTGCTAATAAATTTTGTGTAGGAATATCTATGTTATACCACGTGGTCGGTACTATCTGAATGGCATAGGGAGTTTTCGATGGATCAACACCAAGGAAGTTCTAATCATCGAGCTGTCCCGCCAGAAGATACCAAAAAGGTCACCTTGGAAGATAAGATTAGTTTTAATCGCAACATCTTACACGAATTGCTTTACGAGGTCTGCCACCTCAGGGAAAATAAGATTTCAAACGAAAATAGGAACGACTTTGAAGATGCGTTCACGAAAGGTATTCGGGATTTTCTGACTACCAAAGAAATTCCAATATGGCTAGTCTTCGCGGCACAGATCATTTGCGACATCCGGTTCATTTTGGGGAAGGAAGTAGTGCGCTGCCACGACGAGGTTGTTTTGTTTTCTAGTCGTATTCTACGGCACCTGGAAAGTTGCTTCTGGACAGCTGGTATTCACTATTTGCATGATTGTTATTTGAATCCTTTTGATTTTGTAACGTATCGGCTTTTCAACGATCTGCGGGATTACGATTTGAAAGACTGGATGAGTCCGAGTTTTGACCCTCTTCCCGCTGACTTGGAGCATGAGGAGATGCATCCTACGCCAATCTCAAAGAACAACCATGAGAAATTCTCCTATCTACGCCGGAATCCTGTTCTGTGTGGGACGTGGATCCTTGGACGTACTATACTATATAATGAAGCGGGAGTTTGTAATGCAGCCTTTGAACCTAGTACAATAAGCTGTGTACATCTTTACAACGCACTTCGTCAAGAGTCGCGGAAAGATTCGGATGAATATCCCAAGTGGAAAGATATGGAATTTCTCATCTTGATGCAATCAGTGGATCGATTATTCAGTCAAAGCGATGAGCCTTCCAATTCAAATGACTATGTCAAGAGCTTTGAGAAAAAGATTCTAAAGCGAGGTCCAACAGCATTAGGATTGCAGCATATTTCAATGCTTGCCAAAAAATTTCACAAAAAATCCTGTACGCTGATCAATTGTGATCATCATGGGTACTCGGCTAGGTTTGCAGACTTTATCAACGCAGTATACAACGACAAATTGGATGAGTTACTCCCCAGTTTGAAAAACATCTTCCCAGGGAACCAACTTTCTCCTGGACCTTCAGATGCCCCGCCCAGCAACATCTCGAACTGTATTGAAGATCTAAATAACCGAATGAACATGGACTTCTTAGTCAAGAATTCAAGAATATGGGGTAGAGTAGAATATCTCCGTGTTATGACTAGACTGGTGGAAAAAGAAGCTCTCTTTCTGTACTTCGATTGGCATGGAATTTACGTTACATGCATGCATTTGCTTAAGAGTTTGTATGAGGAGTTCCGATCGGATATCGATAGAGCGGCGTCTGGAATTTCTCTTTTTCCCAAGCCTTCGGAGATGGACAAGGTGGCTCACTTTCTATTGAAACGGTTAGGTAAGAGTGAGAATGATAGAAAAGATACCGTAGAAAAAATGCGAAAGGTTTTCGATAGAAGAATTCGTAAGATGAGCGAGCCAAAGGAAGACGACAGCCAGGTGATCAGGGCCGTGCAAGAGTTGCGAAAGGTTTTCAATGAGAGACTTGATAGGACCCCGAGCGGGCCAGAGGAAGACGAACACCTGGTGGTCAGGGCGGTGAATTTTTTCTTAGCCAAGAGACCTCGATACGAAGCTTCGAGAGTTGAGATGGAGTTGAACCGTTCGTCGCCCTACTAGATGACCGAGGTGATCCAGTGCTTCGGATACGTCTCAACGCGCAGAGTAAGTGTTGGAATTAAGTATTAAAAATTGAAAAGAATTGTACTTGTTATTGATCATGTAGAGATAATTCAAAGATGTTGAACCATGATACGCGTTTGTGATAATTGCAATTGTGAGTGCACGAAGTCATTTGACGATGTCTCTCCACGAATAGTCAGAAACCAAGCAGCCCCCCAAAGCATACACATTCTAAATACCAAAGATAGGTAATCAAACTTTAAAGCCAGGAACCTCAAGAAAGTAGTAAGCAAAATAGAGAACAAATGCGCTTCATTACAAAGCAGCCACATTTCGTGATACTCCTGTGGTTTTATATTATTTTATTTCATTTGACTTGGAATCGCGCTTGCGCATGCTTGCATGTTGCCAAGCTTTGAGTCAGCTTGGTGCGTGTAACATCGATTCTTGTGTGGATTCCTGAGGGATCTGTAGGGCTTACTTGGGGGTTGTTGAGTGTAGTGTGATTTTGGTGGAAGGGGGGTTGATATTGGAAGCGAGATTGTGAATTGAAGAAATGAGGAAATGAGAGATACGAAGAAAGTGAAAGTTTAGGGTAGTGTGGTGTTGTGCGGTGTTGTGTAGGGGGAGATAGGTTGGGATGGGATGGATTGGGCGAGTATGAGAATTGAGAAATGATAATTTCTGAGAGGGGGAGGGAATGAGAATGGAAATCAGAATGAGGATGTGAGGGGAAGGGAGATTGGCGATGTTAGGATTTGAAAGGTGTGGTTGAACGCCTTGATCTTGGGTTGGTCAGATGCTTGGTTCTGTTCTTCTAGATTGGAGAGGTTGTAGATTGATGTGCAAGTGAGAGTTGGTATTCTTTGGATTTTTCGTGCGAGGGGCCAAGTTCTGTAGGAATTCCATGGTTGATGAGCTAAATGTGGCGCTCGTACTGTGAAACAAGCTTTCATTTCGAGTAATTGTTGATGTGGGAGATGGGGTCGAGAGGAGTTGAGAGTCATTTAGGGAACTCGAGAGGAGGAGTAAGTGTCTTGAAGTTCAAGCTGGGAGCCGACGAGATGGGAGGCGAGATGGAATTAGTGACTATTTGTTCAGGAGTTGAAGAGGTAATGGTGTTGATTGAGAATGAGGTTTGGCGTGGTGGGGTGGTTGCGAAAAAAGTATAAGTAGATCGCAATATCAATGTCGAAGAATGAAATGTACACAGCACTCCAGTCCTTTATTCCATTACATTCCACCCTCTTTCCAGTTCCTATCGCTTGCACGGTCATTGACATCTTCTTTCATTCGCTTCAAATTCCAGATACCACGTTCATTCCACCTCTCGCTATACTTGCACAGTCTTCAAGATGCATTACCAGTAAATCTTCCGTCTAGCACTTGTCAATCACAGATTACAACTAACATCCCTTCACAGAAACTTTCTCATCGCCACGCTCGCCATTGCAGCCCCTGTTTCCCTTGCCCTTCCTCTCGCCGACCCTGAGCCCGCAAAAGGTACTCCGGCCACAACTAAGTTACCCGAAAACCAAAATGTCTACGCTAAGCCGACTTGACTTTCAATTCCTATCATTGACCCTACCAAACTTTCCATCTTTCCTACTCCTGCTCCTACGCAGAAGCCAGAAACTGTTACCACGAAAGGTGAGCAACAGGATGGACAGGATTATGCTACTAAGACAGTGAAGGAGGGGGAGGGCGGACCGGCGCAGAAGTAGTCAAGTTTATACTACGTATGCTCCTAAAAATCCAGAGGCCTAGGGGAAGGGGAAGAGCCAGAGGGATGTTGAAGAACTAGAGAATAGAGATGTGGCAGATTTGGATTGGGATTGGGATATAAAGGGGAAAATGACAGATATGAATGTTGAATTGGAGGAGAGAGCTGAAGGTGGAAAGCCCACTGGAGGTTTTACTGGAAACCCTGATCCGGCACCTGCACCTAACGCAGCCGCAAAGCCAACACAGCATTTTACTGGGAAACCGGATACTGAGCCGGCTCAGACAGCTACAGCCAAACCAACTCAGCACTTTACTGGTAAACCTGACGGACCCGAACAAACAGCAATAGCTAAACCCACTGAAAACTTCAGCGGCAAACCCGATGGACCAGATCCAACTGCCACTGGAAAACCAACTCAACACTGTACCGAAAAGCCAGATACACCACCTACCAAAACAATCAAAACTATTGAACCTGTTAAGACCTCTATCGCTTTTACTGATAAACCAGAAAGTGTTCCAAGAACCTTCACATCCATGTACAATATTGGCGGTCAGGCGACCTCACGTTCCGTTCTTGTCAATACTTATGGACCGGCTAGTAGCAGTGTTATCGTGGCTCCTGTGCCAATTGGTACTGGAAAGCCTGCTGGAGGAAGAGGATTTTAGGTCTTGCCGTCTGAAGAAAGTAGGTGTTGTTGAATTATATGAGAGAGAAGGAGTGAGTTGTTTAGATGAGTGTGTGGAGAAGGGGGCGAAGAGAGGAGTCCGCGGGTGCTGGAGAAGATTTTTCTTTATCTCTGTACTGATTTTGCTTTGAATTTGAATGACTGATTTAAGGGTATAATTTTGGGTATTGTTTGATTCGGATGTGTAGAAATAAATATTGACTATGATAGATATTAAATATGAAAAAGATGCTGGGACGAAGCGCTTGTAAATAGGGGACAATACGTGATGAGCATTGATGGACTTGGAAAGGATATATATACAAAAGTAACAAACTTGACTCGTTATCATACATCGCCTCCATGTATCTAAATTAGATGTTTTCATCTAGAGCTGAAAGATAAGGGAAGATCTTGCAACTCTCGAAACTTCGAGATTGTTCCTGTGTAGAGCAATGCATTATAACCTATCTTGTGACTAGTCGAGTAGTGATATCGAGACTGGTATGTGTATTTCCAGTAGAACAGATAGCCGAGTTGCATAGGTATCGAAGAAACTGTACTTCATCTCTAATCAGGATACAACCTGAGCATACTCGGAGCTCCAACCAAACATAGTGGTACATAAGAGAAATGTTGTATCACGCCGGTGCCCGCGATATAGGAAACGACGCCACCAGTACTCATCGATGGCACATATTATGAGATGGCATGATATTATGAAATCCTTCGAAGAATGGCCAATCAAGGATGGAATAAATATAGCAGCTTTCTTGGTCAATCCATCGTTTTTGTGAGACGATATTCGTTATCAATCACCCAGGCCTACCTATACCTATATATATGGAAAATTCAAACACCGAGGCCATCCAAAGCGTTGAGATATGACGCTAAGAAATATTTGCTGACTAATCTCAAACCCCCACATTTCCCGTGGGTTTGGTGTCTCTTTGAAATTGAAATTCGGATTCCAACATCAAAACCTCAATTCTCCTCTAATCATAATTGACAGCATGGCTGTACAAAACGGATCTGGATGTGTCAGCAGTGACCCAAATGCTAACTCAGCATTGGGAGACATAGAAAAATGGATCAAGAATAGAGATTCCAGCAAGAACAACAGCTTAGTCGCCGCTGTGGTGGGATGTGGTGAGTCAGAAAATTCACGTAATGAGGAAAATCACTTACAAAATTCAGGAAACATGGGTAGTTCTATTCTTACTGGCATTCTTGCTGCCAATTCATTGCCAGATGCAAGGGATAATACCCCAGTTTCACATATCATTGCTTGTACCAAGTCAGAAGCTTCAGCTTCCAGAGTATACTCGGCATCAAAAGAATCCAAGGCTGCAGATAGACTCGCCGTCTTTTATGATAACAACTTAAAAGCATTTCAACTAGCCGATGTTATTATCCTGGCGTGTAAGCCATATATGGCCGAGGAAGTTCTCGGAGCTCCTGGTGTTGGCGATGCTCTAGCAAATAAACTTGTCATCTCAGTTTTGGCAGGATCAACAACTGAGCAGTTGAAGGAATTTGCGTTCAAAGGTAGCTCGGACACAAAAGGGTGTGCATTCGTCAGAAGCATGCCAAATCTTGGCGCACAAATCAAGGAATCATCAACGGTTATCTCAACTGGATCGGAAACCATTTCTCCAAAATACGATGAGGCTATGAAATGGATCTTTCAAAGTATTGGCCAATACACATATGTACCCGACAATGTATTCCAAGTTGCAGGTGTTCTTGCCGGTTGCACTCCAGCATGGTTCCTTACTGCCTTTGATGGAATCCTCGACGGTGCTGTTTCTGAAGGAATGAGACGAGATACCGCGACTGAAATTTTGGCTGGCTCTATGCTCGCAGCCGCAAAGTTAATACAGAATGGTGAACATCCTGCTGTTCTCAGAGAGAAGGTTTCATCTCCCAAGGGTACCACAATTCAAGGTCTGAAAACTATTGAGAAAGGGGGTGTTCGATCAACATACTGTGATGCAACAATTGATTCGGTTCAACACGGATTGAACATGGGCAAGAAATAAATCCTTTCTTGTCTTTGTTGAAAATTGCTTTGAAGCTTGGTGATCTGACACGATATTTTCCTCGAGATAGGACGCTTGAGCACTCACGCCATTTACTTCTCGCTCTACTTTTCACTGGACAGAGATATAAATCTGATAGATGGAGGTCGGGCTTCAATAGAATAGAATACTGTCTGAATAAACTAGATTTCTATCGAAGTTCTTACCAACTCAGGTATATAGTTCCTCGGGTATTTTCTTTTGATCAATGACACTAAATTTCTAGGGGCTCAACAGATGACTGGTCAAAAGGCTCAAAGTATACACTCTAAGACTCCGACTGAAACCAAAAAAGTTCCTATTTGGGTGTTCGTTCTGGCTGCTAATAGCTGTTCTGGATATCTTTCTAGAGTTTCTTTACAATAGTCTGGCATGATGAAGTCGAATGATAATAATCGGCATACAAAAGTGCCTTGACAGAAGGTTCGCCAGCACGTTTCTTGTACCAACTACCCTGGCTGTTTCAAGAATCAGACGTCTACTTCGTAGACATACCCCCCTCGGTACTCCTTATCACGGAAACCGAGAAGCCAAACGATCGTCGAGTCGATCTGTACTTTATCATCCAGTTACCACTCCAATCCAGATTCCTATTTTGGATTTATGCACATGAATGTCACAATAAACTAAATGATAAGGACCCACCCTCCCGATAAGGCAATACTCTGATATCGATGTGCGGGGTCGAGATGCCATTACGAGGTGGATGCATGCCATTATACCAATATACACCCGATGATACACGAACCAACTGTTGTGTAGAGTGATCGGGTTGATAAGTGAGAGTCTCCGGATATATCACAGGGTTTATACTATGTAGGACCCAGGTAATGTTTACTTGGAGACTCTTGATCTCTTGGTCTTTCCTTTCATCTCGAGTGTGCTATCTATCTTCATTGAAATGTTGTTACGACGATCTTCTAGATTTCTTTCACTTGCACCAAAGAGATATCATATACCATCTCTCAGATACTGTTCTTCTATCACCTCAACTATTTCTACTCAAAATGGGTTTCCACATACACCCACCCCCACCCCTCCTCACACCAGTATCTCTCCAACCTCAGAGCTTCCACCCCTCTCCATAATGCCCCTTCCTCTCCTCCTGAAATCCTACCTCATAACCTCAATTCTTGCTTCCCCAAGAATCATCAAGTTCTTTCTTCCTCTCCTCAACAAACTCGCAAATTCCAGCTCCACAATCTTAAATCCCGATAGAAATCCAGTGTTACATATGATCGTTCGGAAATTTATATACGATCATTTTATCGCTGGGGAAAATGCTACTCAAGTGAGAGCTCGGGTGAAAGAAATGAAAGGATTGGGATTCAGCGGAGTAATATTGGGATATGCGAGGGAAGTCAACGTTTCTGGTGGAGAAGTGGGCGGAGATGTATCAGTGGTGAGCAAAGACGTAGGGGAGAGAGCCATTAGGGAATGGAGAGATGGACTCATGAGTACGCTGTCTTTACTACAACCTGGAGATTTTCTATCACTCAAGTAGGTTCATTTTTCTTCTCTTAAATATCAATATCAACATCAACATTTCCCATTTCAAAAACCCAATCCACTAAACCTCCCATCCCCAGATTCTCCGGCGCAGGCCCCCTCGTTCTCCACGCCCTCCAAAACTCCCTCTCCCCACCACCCCTTCTCCTTCAATCCATGCATCTACTCCTCCGCACCGCGGCCTCTCAATCCGCGCGTATCTGGCTCGATGCAGAACAACAGGACTTACAACACACAATCGAGTCATGGACTATCGGTCTCATGCGCATCTACAATACCGGATCCCAAGCATTACTCTACACAACCATGCAAGCGTATTTGAAATCCACACCTTCCAATATCTTGAGATGTTTACAACTCGCACAGAAAGAGCATTGGGTACTGGGCATAAAATTAGTCAGGGGTGCATATATTGCTACCGAGAAACGAGAGTTGATATGGGGAAGTATTGAGGAGACGCATGAGGCGTATAATGGGATTGCTGCCGGTTTGTTAAGTTTATCGTATCCTGGGATGGCTGTTGAGAAAGACACTGTATTTGGAGAGAAAGCAGGGGGAAAAGAAAAAGAAAATGCATATCCACGAGCAGAATTATTCCTCGCCACGCACAACGAAGAGAGTATCAGAAAAGCCTATACACTTCAAAGCTCGCGAATCCTATCCGGAAAACCCACAATCGAACTAGCGTTTGGACAGCTACAAGGGATGGCCGATGAGATTAGTTGCAGCTTACTACAACTCCGTCGAAAAGAATCCCAGGGATCGAACCTTGCATCACTAGTTTCCAGAAGTCTTGTGAACACAGAGGAGAAATCCAGATTAGCGCAGGCGTTAAAACCAAAAGCATATAAATGCATGGTGTGGGGTTCCACGCAACAGTGTCTACAATTTCTTTTGAGGAGGGTAAAAGAAAATGGAGATGCGCTGGGAAGGACGGGGTATTGGGTTGAAGGATTCAAGAGGGAGATATGGAGGAGGATGAAGAGTTCTTCTGGGATGAAGAGGAGGAGTGTTTTGAAGAGTGCTAATGAGGGGATGAGTCAGAAGAGGGTTCTATAGAGAAGGTGTGGTTCTGTAAAGGGGGATCAGGGAGAATGGAGTTGTTTTTTATGTATGGAGAAGTCTAGAGTTGGAGTTTATGATTTTCTAGAATGGAGAGGAGTTGAGCTTACTTAGGGAATATGTTATATGTTATGAAAATCCAGATTTTGAAAAGCTCTACATACGACAGAGTGACCATCACAATCTAATTAGTTATGCCAGAAGTCACGTTATGATTCGTGCACCCCAAACCTGAACATAACTGGCAAGCAGTCTGATTGAAATATAAAAGGACGGGGTCCTGAATATAACTGACGAAAGATTGGCTCGATTGAGTTATGATCTTAATAAGCCACTTCAACATGTCAGTGGTTGGGAAGTTAGAGGGGGATTCTGAACGAGGTTTAAATCAAAAGGGGAAGAAAAATATGGGAAGATGTAATGGGATCGATGAGGCTAAACTTTTGAATAGTTAAATGTAGAGATTATCAGATAATACTAGATATTGGAATGTTAGTATTGTTTGTATAGAGCAAGGTGGAAAGATCTTTCTAAAAACAAACAATCCTCGACCAGACCTTACAAATATTTATCTACCTCCGTTTTATTTCTTGAGAGTCAATTCTAATGATATACCAGCAAGGCCCATTCCCAAAAACTTCAAAACCGAAGTTACATTCTCGCGAGTCGTTCGAGGTATATTCTAATAATGAATCTTTCTCGTTTCTAATTCCAGTCTGCGATCCCACTCTATCATTTCGCAACGAATCTCCAATGCATCCCTAATCATCATCCCCAATCACACTCCTCCCCTGCACCCCCCCATAATTCCCCCTCCTCTCCCCCCTCTTCCTCCAATCCAAATCCCCAAAACTCCTCTCGACAACCGCATCTCTACCTACCAAAAACGTCCCCGGAACAGATACCTCCATTCGCATCTCCATTGCTCTTCTGAAAATCACATCCCAACTCTCGAAACACTTCTCTCATTTCCTTATGATGTGGGAAGAAGATCTCGAGTTTCCGCGCGAGGATATTTCTACATCGGATAAGACTTCGAATTGTAAATTGTAAGGAGTGTTTTTCAATACTGCTGAGTGAGTGGTCGGGGAGGGAGGGAGAGACGAGGAGATTTATGGAGTGGGATGTGGAGAAGGGGAGGTGGGTTTGGAGCGTGTGAAGAGCGAGATTGTAGAAGGGACACTGGGAGCCGCAGTGGAAGGTCATGGGGAGGGCGGGGATAGAAATGGGGGTGCCGAGGGCGTTCGGGAGGGTGATGGAAGGGAAGAGGTGCCCGGGTTGCAGGGCGAGGGAGGGAGATAAGACTTGTTGGAAATGGGTGTTGGTGTGGTCGATGGGGTTTTTTAGGTGGGAGGGTGCGGTGGCTTCAAATTGAGTGGTTATGGCGGCTGGTTGGGAGGCGAGAGACATGGTTGGGGATTTGGATGTATGTTCATTAGTATGGTGTGGTGTGGTTGGCGCGTTTGCTTTTGTGCTGCTGCGATTCTTTGACAAAATGATGTTGGAGAACTGGAAGTATTGATGATAAATATAAAGAAACTTATCTCTATATTTTCATCTCTCCAATGAGGATATCATACATCTTTATAACCCCTCGGAGCCACATCGATACTCATTATTTCGCGTAGATAGATGAGCTCTAAATCTTTGATTCTCGTCGAGGATTGAAGAAGTCCTTACCGAATTGGTCGTTTATCCAATAAAAGTCACGCGTATACGAATCTGTTGAAGTTGGTCGGAAGAGAAGTTGACAGATCTTCCATTATTAGTTTCGAGGCGTGTAGAGCTAGGGTGGCTATTCTAATCAACTATGATTCCAAATGCCGGATTGATTGATTTTTGGTTGTGAAATCTTACATGCGTATAAGCATATTGTCGAGTTTTCGGTAAATGTTGATGACAGCCCTATAGTTGGTTACTTTTTGGGTAGTTCAACGCGCAATAGTATGGGATACTAGGTAACGTCCAATAGGCATATATTGTGTGCTTGTAGAGATCCAGAGATAACAATAAGCAGGGAATAGGTATAGTCTTGCATCTCTAGGGTGAATGATCACTCATTGGATCATAATATTCACCTAGTAGGTGCCATGCATGAGACCGCCATCATAACTAATGGGAAAAAAACTGCTCTTGTGTGAAGTATTCCTAAACGAGCTCAAACATTTTTACATGAGGTCTAGCCACTATGCCGCAATTTGTGATGCTCAAGACTAGTCATAATTTAGTAAAATCTAGATGCAAAATCTATAACGAATCCACTCCTTAATCATGCAAAGAATCGATCTTAAGAGACACCCTCGTGCGTCATATGGTCCTGAAAATTCACCCCCCATTTGAAGAAACTCATACGCGTCTACCACATCCCACGCATCGTCAACCAAGTATCAAGATCAGTAGGCCATTCTTGATGCATTCTTAACCACGGGTTATTCTCTCCCCGCAAATAGTTCCAGCCATATTTATAGTTTTCTCCTCTCCGATGTGCACCTTGCCAAAAACTATCGTATTCTTGTCGGAATCTCTGCATCATATCTCAGCCACTGACAATCCTACGCACAAAAGGAAACTTACATTAGGCCCGCTATGATTCCAATCTTTGAACTTGGAAGGATCAATTTGTCGACCTTGATGATAGGCCTTGTAAATCTTGTTATACTCATCCAGAGTTAAACGTGGATATTCCCATGCATGATTTCCGATTCCTTGACCGTTCCAATCTTGGGGTTGTTCCCAATCAACATATTTCCGTGTATGTGGATCATATCTTTTGAAATCTCTTGAAAATGCTCCAGTTACTTCTTGTTTGTGCTTATATTCATCGTGGTATGAATCCCTAATGAAGAGTCAGCTAGATCAAATGTGATATCATTGCCACAGAAATTACCAATTTTGCCATCGATCGGGACTAATTCTGCTTCCTTGTTTTCCAACAAAGATATCTGGCCCCTTGTTCATTACAACGTTATTGAGCCTTCCTAGAAATCCTCGGTGACCACGACCTTTGGGACCATCTTTGGGCCAAATGAATTGTAAATTTTTCTTCTTTCCAGGCATGGTAGAAATAAGAAATGCTCTCTGATGTGTAAACCAACCAAACAAATGACAGAAACGTCTGGATAAAATATCAAAGACCATCGCATAATGACTACTGCATATAAAGGTTTCTAGACATAGGTTTGACTCGGGTTGGACTGCACACTCTCAGAGCTTGCTCTTTGAACTGTTGTCAAATTAATAAGGCTCATTTGACCAGCATAGCAGAGTATAGCAAGTTAGATAGTTTGTGAGGGTTTACTAGCAATTAGAATTAGATCCTTCATTTTCTCCACACTAGAAAGGAGTCATATTCAGTCATGTTCATGACAGCAATCTCTGAACAGTTCATTGCTTATTCTACAAACAGTATATATTTAGAAAGACAATCTTAAATGGTGGGAGAACCAGCAGTATAGTTTCACAGGATTGAGATGAACAAAGAGAATATGACTAGACAAGCAGCAAACTACTTGTATGCTATCTTGTCATACCTTCCACTGAAAAGTATGAGTAAGGTTAATATCTGCATGCCATCTTATACCACTTAGTAAGCTTACAGTGAAGCAAAATGCAGAAGTTTGATATATCTCATCATGTCTAGGTAATTTTGTTGACGGTCAAAATCAGTGACTAAAAAGAATTGGGCGAGACCCAAGCTTGAATCAAGATGCTGAGATAGGTCGAAGCACGTGAGAAACAAATGGGCTGGCAAATTTGTGGAGCAGAACGCGGTTGGGGTCGGGTCGGCAACACATCGCGTCTACTGTACAAAGGACTAGAAACTTTAGATGAAAGTAAACATCACAATCAACAACCTGTTCTATATGAGATTCTTTTTGGATTTCACTCGATCGAGCTCAATCATTTCCAAAGACTTCAAATGGAGAAATAGGGGAGCCAAAACTTGGACAATAAATCTATTCGAAATTTATATCAACATACAGGGAATTGGGGTATTCAGAGATCCTGCTGCGCGTCAAATCGAACTATTTGCAACATTCACCCCTTGGAAAAAAGAGGACCCACCCTTAAAGCTATCCAATACCTCTCCTACTCGATTCCGAAGTCCTGCCAATGCTCCAAGGCGAATTCCACGATTAGAAAACCAGTTTTCTCAGCGATTATCCACCGTTTGACAACGCATCGGAGTCGCGAAACGAAACATCAACTGGGGGTTATTGGCGTTGATTAGAAGGACTTGATTTGATTATTTGTATTTCTACAAGGCTAGAGTGACGTTCCGAGGTTGAAGATCGATCGATATTGTGGCATTCACTACGAGAACCTAGTCTTGATCACGCACAACGATTTGGCGACATATGCCGATTCCCCCTCGTCTACATGGTGTGTGCTATATTCGAAATGACCTGAATTGGAAGTGAAGCCCAGGCACACCGTCTTGATCGCATATTCAGCTAGCCTAAGGCACCAGTTCAATACCAGAATCTTGAGACTCGGAGCGCAATCAACTAAGACTCGCATTCGTTAGGAAGAGAGGAGACGCAGAAGAACAGACCTGTATTAGTCTGTGTGTCTTGCCGCAACGATGCCAACAATAAATGTCTTACCAACCTCTGCTGCGGAATTGCAGGAAATTGCAGATATTCTTGCGAAATCAAGAAAGGTTGTGGTTGTGACAGGAGCTGGAATCAGTACGAATGTCGGAATACCTGTATGTGGACCGCAACCTAGATTACCCTTTGAACTACTGCTAACTCAGCAAACAGGACTTTCGTTCCGAACATGGACTTTATTCCATGATACAAGCTCAATATGATGCTGCACTGGAAAATCCACCTTGGGAAATTAATGATTATGATATTGATGATCGACCGAAGAAGAAAAGACGTGTCACGGAGCGCTATTATTACGAACTTGTGACGGCTGATGGTGTAAGGGTAGAGCTGCCACCTGAAGAATCATCCGAATTGCCCTCTGAGCAACCCTCTGAGCAGTCTTCTCAGCAGTCTTCTCAGAAATCCTCCCAACCGCAATCAAAAGAAGCTTCGGCGCAACCAGAAACACCTGCTCTAGCTCCATCGAGAAGAAGTTCTCGCAGGCATACGTCCTTGGTACAGGATAACCTCAAAAGTGAATCTCAGAAACCGAGTGTGAGAAGTCCAGCTGCTATAGACTCTAATGCCCCGACCACAAGCGACAATCTAATATTACCCCTGAAGCGTCAAACTCGAAACGCTTCTTCGGCGCAGGACAATTCTATCAAAGAATCTCCAAACCCAAATTTGAAGGGCCAATCTGCTCATAATCTGCATGATTCTCTCTCTCAGGCTACATCCACCAATACACCACATTTGTTGCCTCTGAAAAGGCAAACGTCTAAGTCTCGAACCTCTATTCTGGCGCAAGATGGCGTCAAGATTGAATCGCCAAAACCTAACATCAAGGGCAAGTCTTCCAAACTTCGGGCTATTCGAGCTTGTGATAGATGTCGAGTTCGAAAGATTAAGTGTGGTGACACCCGACCAAGCTGTGAGCCATGTGCCAAATCCAAAGTTGAATGTATTACCACCGAAACCCCCAATCGACGAGTATCTCAAATTCAAGAGACTAAATCTCATGAAGAAATAAATCCATCAACAGAAATGGAACTCGATTCGGAAGGTTCCAATATTGAAGATAATGCTTCACAACAATTACTTCAAGAATCGAATGAATACTCGTCTCAATATTCATCGGAATATTCTCGGTTGCCCCAGGACTTGGAGTCAATTGACAATAAACAGAAAAGAGCTCGACGTTCACTCCGAACAAGCTCTCCCTTCTCTACAGCAAAGGAAGAAAATTCCAACCCAACAAGAATTTCTTCCGATTCTTCCTTAACAAATTCATTACGACGTGAAAGTCGTCTTCGGTCGACGATTCAAGCCTCAACCACCAATCAAAAACCTATTCCTTCAAACCCACGAACCCTTCAAAGGTCCTCATCACTTATACCTTCTGTCGCCAATTCAATTATTGAAAGCAAGACTTCACGACAATCAGTGAGATCACGAGCTGATAGTTTACCTCCACAACTCACAGAACAATCCTCTTCACTTCTCAGGAAATCTTCTCGAAGAAATACACCTGCATTTGAACTTTCCAACAGCAAACTCTCTTCATCCACAAATACTGAAAGTGCATCTACAACTGGGAGCGCCACACCTTCAGTTTCATCAAGTGATTGTAGTAGCAACAACAACAACAATAACAAACGAAATTTATCAAGTGAAGTCAGTTCCGTCACAACTGCTTCCGAATTTGAAGAACCTCCTTCACAATCATCTCAATCATCTTCATCACGTACATTACCAAATCTCAAAGGGAAAGATCTATTTGACTCAGTCATTTGGTCCGATCCTTTCTCAACCTCTATCTTTTACATGTTCATCTCCAATTTTCGTCGCAGAATTAAGAACGATGTCAAGTCTACCACCACCACCCACCAATTTATCCGCTCTCTCCGAGACAACGGTCGCCTCGTCCGGAATTACACACAAAATATCGATTGCCTCGAAGAACGCGAAGGACTCACTACGGATCTCGAACTTGGCGCGGGTGATCGCACGCGTTTTCAAACCAAAATCCAAGGCAAATCACTCACGGCAGGAACAGATGAACGAGGAGGAAAAGAAACCCCTCCTGCAACTGGAGTAGAGTGCGTTTTGCTACACGGGTCACTTCGTAAGTTGCGATGCGGTGTATGCTCGAAACTTACCAGTTGGGATGAAGAAGATAGGGAGACTACTACAATGGCTGGGTCTGCTCCAGATTGTCCTTCTTGCATTTCCAGCTCTATATCACGTCAAGACAAAGGTCGCAGAGGTTTGGCTGTGGGGAGATTGAGGCCTGATATTGTTCTTTATGGAGAAGAACATCCGCACGCAAATTTGGTTGGGCCATTAATTATTCACGATCTGAAATTAGGTCCAGATGTCCTTCTTATACTTGGAACTAGTTTGAGAGTTCATGGGCTCAAGATTATGGTTAAAGAATTCGCACAAGCTGTACATGCCAGAGGAGGAAGTGTCATTTTCGTTAATCAAACCAAGCCACCCGAGAGTCAATGGGGCGATGTAATCGACTATTGGGTAGAATGGGATTGTGATGCATGGGTGCTGGACTTGAAAGAGAGGCGAAGTGATATCTGGCAGCCATATACAAATGTCACACAAAACGTTGCCAGCAAGGATCCGGTGCCTTCCAAGCAGCGTAATCCATCTGATAAGATACCACCATACCGTCCACAGTGCAAGAGAGACGATAAGACAAATGCAGTTCATTTCACATTCAAGATCCTCGACGACCTTCGGAAACTCAAAGATGCCGAAGGGAATGGATCGGTACGACCTATGTACTGGGTGCCTTTTGATCGTAGGCCTTTCAGAGCTTCCACTGGCCAAATACCAGAAAATCAACCGATTAAAAAGTCTCGAGCTTCAGTATTACCCATCAGAAAAGGTCGAAAATCTCTCCCAGCTTCATCATCTATCAAAATTCCTACAACGGCCACAACTAGCAAATCCCAAAGACGGAAGACTATCCCCGACAAAACACCTGCGAAAACGCAACCAACTGAACCACATCGCAGTGGTGCCTGGCTTGAAGATTCTCTCTTGAAAATTGTCCGTAGACTCACCAACAACACGCTCTCTGAAGACCTTCTAGAAGACTTACGCGGCAGAGTCCCATTCGAACAACTTGCTGAAAATGTACCAGGGAACAGCATAGGATACAAGAGATCTTTCTCAGATGTTGGCATCGATGGTGCTTTGGAAGGAATTGGTCTGCCAAATATGCGCGGACTGTTAGATTCGAGTATTAGTATCAAAGGAATGAGTTTGAGTAGCTTGCCTCCGACTGGATCTCTAGAATCGGGAAGGAAAGATTTGGGGAAAGAAAAGGGAAAGATGAGTGATAGAGGGGAGAGGGAGAGTGCTACTTTGCCGCGAGAACAGACCTCCCAAGAAGATCAGAATACCATTGTCGTGCAGTCCAGACAGGTACAGGCCATGAAACATTCGTATGGAACGAGAAGTAAACGGAATAGTATGGAGATTGGTGTTGAGGATATGGGTGTAGGTGGGACTAGCAATGCGGAAGATACAATTGTCGTTCTTACTAGGGATAGGATGAGTATTGGAGCGGTTTGTAATGATAGATGATTGTTCGGTCGATCGTTAGGTGATTGGCTGGCTGGATGGAACTGTATTTACTGGACTCGACTGAAATGGATTGGACTGAAGGGAATGGACTTGATGCATTTACTGGATTCGCTATCTAGGGACTAGCTGGGAGGAGAATATATAGATAGAATGTTTTGTGCTTGGTCAATGGATGGATGGATGGAGGAGTGTAGAATATGATACCATGAAATGTAATTGAGCACTCTTTTTGCGAGGAATGAATTACTTGAGATGAGAATAGGTGATGCACGTATTTACGAGAGTTGGTAGTGAAGTAATCCATAATTCATTCATTCAGCTGGGAGGAGATATACAATCCCTAGATTGATAATGTAGATGGAGAAAAATGCTGCTCCTCCCACCTAGGCTTATGAAAGCCCCCAAATCTCCCCCCACCTCCTCCAATCCCCCTCAATCGGCCCATCCAACCTCCCAACCCTCGCACCTTTCCCCGTATTCGCCTCCGGTAAACAAATCCACTCCCTCACACTCCCGGGTATCTCTTCTCTCACATGACTTATACAAAGAAGTGCTTGATTCTGACTCAATCCCTTAATCCTTACCCTCCCTTCTTTTAAGATATTCGATTCGACAATCCTCGTATATTTCAATTTATTTTCCATTTCATTGACAGATAGTTCATGTTGATGTTGACTATGAGCGAATTCTTTTTCCTCGCCATGAGCGAGGAATAAAAGACATCGATCACGAACTCCATCGTCCATACCGCTGAATGCTTCATCTAGAATAACCAAATCTGGTGCTTTAATAATAGCGCGTAGAAAGAGTGCTACTCTCTGAGATGAGAATGGCATTTCGCGGAACAAGATATCATTAGCCCATGATAATGATTCATTCTCTTTACCTTGAGCGGTAGCTCCTCCTACTCTCAAATCTCGTTCAAACCATCGTAATGCTGCATCGATGCGTTCATTCGCATTAGCATTTAATTTTGGGATTCCCATAAATGTATCTGCCCAAGCATTGGCGAGAACCTTTCTCAAAGTCAGATTGCGAGGAATATGATTATGAATCTCGGGACTGGAGTGACCAATTCTGGATTGGAGATCAAAGATCGATATTCCAGGCTTGCCAGGTTCTGGTAATCTAGATTTGCCAAATAGACGGATGGGAAGGGAGTAGGTCTGAGGGTGATCAGAACAGATCAGAGATAGAAGAGTTGTTTTTCCAGAACCATTTGGACCAAAAATACCCCATCTCTCACCTCGTTTGACGTTCCACCATAAACCATCTTTTTCAACACCATTTACTGTCTCCGTCCAATTACCAAGAACAGATTTATCTCCATACTTTACTCGAGCACCTTCCATCTCTATGAGTGCCTCGCCCGTTGCTGGTGGCTTAACGTCATTCAGAGGGTAACCATCACGGCTCATTAGACCTGTCTCTTCTTGAAAATCCTCTGAATTCACCATGGAAATGCCACTTGTAGCTACACTTTCCTCAAAACTAGGTTGTTCAATCCCCTCTAAAGTCAACTTCCTCCCAATCTCCTTCAAAGACGATGGTGTCAAGTGAAGATTCAAACCATCGTCCCAATCCCTACTCCTCTCAACATGCTCTCTCAATTGACGCAAAACATCATCCTTTGGTCCCAAGAAAGCAACTTCACAATTCCCCTTCAAATACACCAAATCCGTAATCCAATGGGGTATTGGATCCTGCGGTCTCAACGACAAAACAAGTCTCGGAGTATTTGCCTTCGCCAATCGATGCAACATCGGACTCAAAGTTAACAACGTCGGAGGATCCAATCCCATAAACGGTTCATCCAAAAGCAAGACTTCTGGATCCTCCAACAACGCTCTCGCAATTCTCGATCTTCTCGTTTGTCCATTACTCAGGTTCGATACCGGCATATTCAATAACTCTCCCAATCGTAAATCATTTATCACACGAACGAGTATCTCAGGATCAAATCCAATTCCATCTATCTTCATCGAAGGATTAAGTTCTGTATTCCCTTGTAAATAATCCCACACACAAAAATCTGTACCCTCTCTCCTCGACTCATATCTCGCACTCAGATATGCACTTTTCGGAGCCTGCTTTCCCAACCCTTGTTCCCCATCAAATCCCACATATTTGATCGCTTTGCGCGGAGTTCGTGGCTTGGAGACATCGCTGCTAAGGTATGGATATGATCGTGCTGTTGGCGGAATACATAAAAGACCTCCTCTAAGAATCTGCAATAATGTAGTTTTTCCAGATGATGAAGCTCCAAGTATAGCCAAATGTTTCTCCCTTTCCGCAAATGAAGGGATTTCAAAATTGAATTTCTCAAATAGAGCAGGATTCGCGTGTCCAGGAAGATGATGAGATGAATTCGGATGATGTCGATAAAATGTGCCATTGTTGATCCTAACGATTGGCGGATGAGTTGTCCTTGTACTTGTACTTGTACTGGTGCTGGTGCTGGTGCTTGTGCTTGTGCTTGTGCTTGTGCCATATCGACGCAGCGGCAAAGCCTTGTGATTCCATATCATCCGTCTCCCCATTGCGTCTTGGTATAATTGGGATTTCCATCTTGAAGAAAAGAATTGAGTCACTTGTGAAAAAGGGAAAGAGAGCCGACCCCGGAACGCGGGGAAAGCTTTTGATGATCCACCATTGTAGCGTGTACCTGGACTTATTACTACAAGTTAGTATTTATGGGTAATTTGAGTGTACATCGAATAAACCAGAAAACGGAATACTTATTCTTACTTTGCTATAGGAATTGAATCAACACACCAAATACACCTAAAAACGTCAAATGAAATGAATAAAAGTAGGAATTCAAAGTCATTCTATAATACTTCGTACCTACTCAGGAATAGGGGATAAACAGAAACCAAGTAACTTATCCATCCTTATCAAAACCTTAGCTAGCGGCGCTTAATAATAACAATTCCGACCTGTTCCATCGCGCTTACACGTCTTCCATAGAGCAGCCTGAAGCTCGACAATAAACAGCTCCTCCATTATAATACAATTCAGAATACAGCTTTCCAACCACAACTCTCAAGGAGTATTTTCAAACTTACTACTTCTTTTCGCCATCGACGAGTTCTACGCTTTACTCTACTTCATCTAACTTCTGAACTTAAATAAGAGAATAAATTCATCATGGTAAGTTTCCTATCTCATTCCATTCATCTACACACCCACCATATTCCCAACATCCACCCTCTCCCTCCCTACCCAAACCCCAAACTAACCCCCCCTCCCCAGGCAATGCGCATCGCCCCCTCCGCCTCTCACACCAGCACGCACACTCTCCTCCAAGGCTCCTCCCTCGGCGCCCCTTCCGCCCCCGGTCTCCACGACACACTCCGCCACGGCGTCGGCCCAACCCAAAGCTCATCCCTCTCCACCCTCCCCGACTCCTCGCACCCCCTCGAAAACCGTCTCAAAAAATGGGAATCCACGCAAGAAGCTCTCAAGATGGCTTCTCTGCGCCGCACCTTCGGCATGAGCGAACCGATTCGTAGAGGTATGGAGTTGAAGATTACGAGAGAGGGGGAGTGGAGACCACTTGCGCTGGGAGGTGGTGGTCCGGGTATGTGGTTTTTTTTTCTCGTTTTTTTGGGTTTTTGTTATTGGGGTTGTGTTGTGTGATACAATACGATACGATACGATCTAGAGTAATATCAAATTGCGAAATGGCAAACAGAAGACCGGCTGCGAATGGAAATAAAATCTCAATACAAAACCAAAGATCAAGAGCTAACATACCATCTACAAATCTAGGTCTCCACGAAGAAATTCTCCGAGGATCCGACACGACGATTAGCTGGGAAGATGTATTCAAAGGAGACGAGACAAGGACAGTACCCGGTTTCCACGAGGAAGTGGAGAGGAAGGTTAAGATGGGTTTTTAAATTACATGTTGGATCTCTGTCTCTATCCTGACTCTAACTCATGATGGAACGGGTTGTGGATATGGATTTAATACAAGCAATCGAGTTTGATGGATGCATAAGTTCATCTTGCAACAAGAATGAAGTTCATGAATGGTAGATGGGCATCTGGAGAGGAAGAAAGAAGAGTGCTGCTTGCTCCCTTGGCTGCTTACTTGCTTGTATTTTCATCTTCGTATCACGTAAATACCAAATTCAAAGATGTGATAACGCTCAACGAAAAATATCACACCCTACCATACCACTCCTCCTCGTAACCTCTATGAAATGTGACCAGAAATTTTTGCTAGAAGCTCTCGTCAAAGCAGTCACGTCAAGCAAATAAACGTTCGCTCTTGCGATCCAGAACATCATCTGTCCTGTATTGTTCCTAACGAATTCCTAATTTCCCTTTCAAATATTTCACCTTTACCAAACGCTAACCATGTCGCTCGCTATCAATCAAATCAAATCAATCAAAAAAATCAATTCGCCATTCATCCCTCTGTTCACCCCTCCGCCATCTCTCTCACTCCATGCACAGAATCCTGATGTCCTAAAATCCATATATGATCACACATCCATCTTATTATACACAACACAGCATACAACCCGCTCTCGTTCACGCTCACTCCGCCCCCAACCGCTCAAATCCTTTATTAACAAAGCTTCACATCCGATATGATGCCTTGACCCTTTTATTTGAAAAACGCTCGACAAACCGTATAAAGAAAGCAAAATAGGGGAAATGTCACCCTTCAATCAAATTGAACCCGAAACGCCATTTTCTCGCTCGTAATGTGCCCATTGTATTGGGTGACTTGGGTTGTTATGTATGTGCTTGGTTGTATCTTTGTTCAATGAATTGGAGAATCATGTATACAAATAGATTCCCCTTTCGACGCTTTCCATGGACAGCATTCGAGTGTGTAGTTTGTAATTTAAACGAATATGGTGACTTTTGAATGATCGGATTCAGAGTATAACACATCTGCACCCAGCATTGCTTTCACCATCTTCTCCTCCTCCTCGGCCCATGGACTTCGCTTTTGATGCATCTTCCTCATCGACTATATCCTGGGGTCTGATAGTCATGTGCACCACATTTGATGTTTCGGGGTTAAATTTACATGCTGTGAGGAGAGGATGTTAGCTAAATGTAATGTAATATTCAGATATCCCAATTGTAATAACAAGAATATCTCAGACTCAAAATATCAAGAGCCTCTGATTTCAAATCAAGGCACTCGGACATGTAAATTGTAAATCGTCAAAACATACCTTTCAAAGGATCTTTATCATCCAACAGCCTCCCAAAGAATATCAATCGTATACTGGTTGGACTACTAGGCTTTGTTTCCCATTCATCTCTCCATTCCCTTAATATTAACTCCTTGAGCGTATATACACTAATAGTAAGAGGATCCTTCTTTCCGTTTTCTGTAACACCGGGTACCGCAACAGAGCGTTTGGTCAAATATTTTTCATCGATCTTATATGGATGGCGCGCGCCCGATGTAAGCAGCAAGGTAATCAAGATTCTGGGCCCTCCATCAGCAGGTGGTGGTGGCGTTTTGGTACTGTCAATCGAGGGACCGATAGCTTCTGAATTCATTCGTGGTCGCAAAGTTAAAGATTCTTGAGCGTCGGAGGATGATTCGGTAGCAGGGGCTTTACCTTCGCTTTTCGACATTGCTGGTGGCGGCGCAGGCGCAGGATCAATAAATGAGGTTTCTTCGTTCGTAACGGGTTGTGCGGTCAATGCTTCTTGTGATGTTGATCCACCATTGCCAATCGAGGCATTTTGTTTTGATGAGTCCACCATCTCTGTCGTCGAACGTGTTGTTTTTGTTGTTGTTATTGTTGTTGTGGGTAAAACTGAAGATTTTGAAGGATAGGATGGATAATCGGATGTTATTGGCGATGTTTCCGGAATCGAAATATCATTTAATAGACCCGACGTCCCTGAGACAACTTTTGAATTTTTCGAAGCGTCAAGTTCATCCATCTCGACAGGAGCCGTATTTGTATTTAATGACAAGTTTGTGGTTTGAATAGGATCAAGTCTATGACCTGCGGGCGATGTCGAAGTCATACTGGTGAATGGAATGGATTGGATTGGATTGGTTGGGTTGGGTTGGGTTGTTTCTGAGGTGCAGGATGAGAAGTGGAAACGGGGTATCTTAGCATCTACCGCCCCATGTAAAATGGATGGTGAAAATGGGGGGATCCACGGCTTTAGGCGGAATAAGACGGTGATTGATTGATGTATCTGGGGAAAGCCGTTTCTTTAATGTACGAAGTAGCGTGTTAGTTTGAATGAGCTGGAAGTGGAAATGAAGGTATTCCAAGTATTTGAGAGATGTTTGTTGTCTACCTAGTATGCATGAAGAAGAGGTTAGAAGAGGCATATCAAATGTGAGGACGGAGAAGAGAATACGAAGGAGGAGGGAGACATAGCAACAAATACATACCAAAGACAATATTAAGGACTTTGATGTGAACACTTTACTTGGTTGGCTTTCATCAATTGGTTTATTCGTGGTATGATACTTAGGGATCCATTGATGATTGTTGCTCCTTTGTGATGAAGATCTGGAAGGTTATTCTTCGACGTAATGGTATCAAATGTTGCTGATATTCTTCGAGTATATATTGAGCATGCGTGTGAATGTATGGAGGTAGGGAGGTAGGGAGGTAGGGAAGTAGGGAGGTAGGGAAATATGTATTGATCAATTGATTAACTTGTATCTCGCAGATCAATTAATATATCGATAAGTCAACGCAACAAACAATCAACCAATCTATATTGATGTCGGTCAATCGTGAATCTCCTTCCAGGTAAATAAAAAAAATCTGCATTTGAATGGATTGAATCGTCCCAGGCAGTAATGAGTAAGTACCGTACCTCAGCGTACCCAGTCCCAGTCCCAGTCCCAGTCCCAGTCCCAGTCCCAGTCGACTTCACTCCGATCTCTCTTCACGTAATGATTGTTTTCGGCTGATTCCCTCCTTTTCTCTTCTCTCCTTTCTGTTTTCAGTCTTCACTGACTTATGACTTGTGACTTATGATTAACCTTCACTTAACTAACCTTCCCAGCTTAAGGTTAAAGTTCGTATGTAGGCAATTACCACCCCAGGGGTACTAGCTACTTCCGGTCCGGTCCTAGGTAGCGGGAGGTATTAATTACTTTGTAATTCATGATTAATCACTTGAAAAGAAATCTGGGGAAAAGATCCAAAGATCCAAACATATATCACTTTATTACATCGCCTTTATCAATCAATCATCAAGTCTTGTAGGTAGTGTCTCCTCCATCCATGCCATCTACGAAGCTATGCAAGGGCAATGAACCGGTTTGGAAGATATATCTACAAGAACTCATGTCAATCACACTCGTCCTGACTACAATCCAACTCATTACCACCCCAACCCTCATGGCTAATTCATGGATCATGTTCTACAACTGATGATAAGTCCAGCTTGTGCTTTTCTCATCGTCAATTCCTACCCCCCCCCCCCCATAAACAATTAAGAACACAAAGTCGCATCTTGTACTTCTGTTTCATCTATTGCCCGAGGATCCTAACTCATATCGTGATAACAAGATACTGCTTCAATCATAAGGCGAAAAGGCTCTAATATGTTCGTGCAATGGACGATCATACCAGGACAACAATCACAACAATTACACCAATTGTAAGTATAAAACATAACCTTCTAATTCTCGCGAATTTCGACCAAGGGGGAGATTCCAAGCGACCAAAGATGTGTACCAAACACGCACTGTTTTACGCTCAGGCGCATAGAACTTTCCGTGTAATGTTACGCACATTAATGAACAAATATCTTTCACACATAAATTACTGTGTAGGTTGTTTGCGTTTGAGTTTACAAGGAAATTTGTGCTGGAGCCTGTACAGTATTGCCTTAGTTATAGGCCTTTCTTCGCATTGTTTTGCGGATCGCTCGGAGAACGAGTCGAAGTTTCAATGGTTTCCATTCCGTTCCAGAACATGTCTATTCTCTTTGCTTAGACGGTGATTGACTTTGCTATTACTGGAAAGAGGATCCAATATCTATGTGGATTTCGCATAGCTTTCCGATGGGCAGAGTTAAAGACTGGGACTTTAAGGTTCTAGAGATTGTCTCCTGCGGACTTATACTTTTTCCATACACAAAAGCAATGTTATAATGAGCATATTCCTCGTTCTTTCCTATCTCTACATTGTCAATACGAGGTAATTTTAATCTTGATGGTGACATGAGGAGAAATGCTCAGCAGCATTATGTTGAGAGTTTGATACCACAGCGGAAGATGTTCCTTCGCCGCTCATAAGCAACTATGCTGAGCGATTTTTGATTGATAATCTATCACGATATACTTTTGGGACCTGAGTTTAAAGAGCGTCTCTTCCCTGGCTATTTCCAATCTGAAGATGGCATCCCGTATTAGCCCTTGCGGCGCGGCAAGATCATCTAGGTATGCGATCCTGCAACAACTGAAGACTCTTATATCATGTTAGGAACGGCCCTCACCACGAAGCAACAAATGCAATCTCCTAACAACGTTTGCAATCACCCTCTTGATGTTTGACACTCACTTCTCACCGGTCCCTTTCAACTCTGGCCGTGGCGGTTACAACGGACCTAATGATGACTCTGAGGATGAAAGCCGACAAATTTGACAACTGTTATGCTTCTTGGGTTATATCAGATTGTATAGGCTCGTCAAACTGCAAATGGGAGTGGCGAGATATTCACAGTCCCCTCCTGTTCAAAGCGTACCGGGTGAACAGGTCACACGGAGTAGCCAACGAAGATACAGGAGTTTCGATGACTATCAAACTATGAGATGATCCTAACGTCATTGCAGAGAACTGAACTACGGAGCACATCAAACCGACATTGAAGCCACTCTCGTTCGAACTTGGCTATTTCAGGATCCAAAGGGGATTCACAAACCCCTCAGTTGACGGCAACAACTTTTCACCTCGTCGAAACGTTACTTTTCTAAACATACAAACTCTCGTAAAATTCATCATTCAGCCGAATTTAGCGCCGCCCTCTTATTCAGAATTGCTCGTGGGCTTTGCATTTCCATTTTAATGCACGACTCGCTCTCTCTTTCGTATGAGAAATCTATCATCGCCCATCCACTTTTCATTATTTCAACATCAAGGTCTTGACTGACGTTCATCACTGAACCTGATGAGCTCGGATTGAAACATCTAAGTTCTACTAAAAGTCAAATTTTAATCGGACCGCCTCTCTGTATATCAGGACGCCTGGAAGAGAGGAGGGCGAGAGAGGAAGGAGAGAAGGAAGGAGAGGAGAAGGTCTAGATTTGTGTTTGGCGGCAAGGATGATGGAATTGAATGGATGAATGGATGTATTTCAAGAGTTACGGTCCGAAGCTCACATATTTTAGTATGTTATGACCAAAAGCGTGGTAGATATAGGATAAAGAGCTGGGAAACCGTCGAAATTTTGATATGAAGAAGATATAACCATGAAAACAGCCGTGTAATGTTTAGTCTACGAAGTTTGATGTGTAACTACAAGACTTCATTTACCACCTTGAGTTGACCAAAACTATGATCACATTTAAGAGTTGCTATACATTTCCCAGGAGGGAACTTTCCTTGCGTTCATTGAGATTGTGTTTTGAAAACTGGCATTGATTTAAATGATTCTTGGAGATAGGAATACCTGTACTGTGATATAATGAATTCAGGAAATCTTCGTGTATACAATGTATAGAATAAAAACTTGGGATATTATACTAGGTAGGTATTGAGTATAAAAAATAAGAGATCTGTTTGAGTTTGCTTTGAATAAATAGGATTTATAAATATATATCTTACAATACGTACATTCATCGAAATCATAAATCAAACCTCACTCTACCCAGTTATCAACTCCCTCAGCGTACCGAAAGTGCCAAGCCGGGACATTGCTTACTCCCACAAATTCCAAATTCAGGGTTTCACTGTAATTACCTACTCGTAGTACGAGATGTGTCGTCCGGATGCGCCGCAATTAATTACGAGTACTTTGTATTGCGATAGAGGACAGAATTGCGATGATTTGTTTACATGGAGTATTTTGTTGAATTGTTCAAATAACGCATTTTGGGATGGCGTGCGGCTTTTAGATTGATACACCCTTGTTACTCTGGCTCTGTCTGACACCCTTCGGTCTAGCTCTTTCTGGTCGCAAGCTCCTCGTACTCGCAATCAGTCGCATGCTTCTCATGCGCCAAAATGGCGCTTCGAAACCCTCAACATGTGTTTCCTAAGACATCATCAGATGAGCATTCAACCACGCACTCCGGTTCGAGTTCGTCGAGCACAGCTTCTGCAGATAGAGAAGTCGTGCATCTGACGCCGGATTGTGATTCGGATGAGGGGGCAGATGATAGTGATGATGGTTCGGGTTCGGATTTGGATATGGGATTTGGGATGGGGATGAGGGGTGGAGAGGGTATGCAGAATGATAGTTATAAGATGCACAGATGGCAGTCGGTGGATAGGGAAAAGGGAAAATTCAAAGAAGTTCAAAAGACGGATTTGGATTTGGATAATGATATGGATTCCGATGACGATGTTTATCGCGATGAGAATAGTCGGAGGAGGGGTAGTTTCTCGACTGTACAATCATATCAGTTATATACGCCAGATGAAGAACGAATCGTGGTGAGAAAATTCGATAGGAAATTGGTGGTTTTTGTTGCTTTGTTATATATGTTGAGTTTTTTGGACAGATCAAGTATGTATATTCACCTTGTTCCATAACAACTCTTTCATCCCTTCCTCGTTAAGAAAAGGAGTTAACCATGCTAACAATTTCTTTCTTCAGATATCGGGAATGCGAAAATAGCTGGTCTAGAACGAGACTTACATTTAGATTCGAATAAATATGAATGGGTTATCACGGCATTTTATATCGCATATATCTGTTTCGAATGGATGAGTATATTATGGAAGATTATACCAGCGCATATCTATATCACGGTGATTGTCCTCTCATGGGGAATCATTGCATCGTTGCAATCTATCGCGACATCTTTTGCAGGGTTGCTTGTTCTTCGAACATTATTGGGAATTGGAGAAGCCGGATTCACTGGAATCCCATTCTATCTATCTTTTTTCTTCAAGAGAGAAGAATTAGCATTTCGGACGGGGATCTTCCTGAGTGCAGCTCCTCTCGCAACTTCCTTTGCAAGTTCTCTAGCATGGGGAATTGTGAAACTGGGAGAACGTTCTCCGATTGCACCATGGCGACTTTTATTTCTCGTCGAGGGATTCCCGAGTGTTCTAGTGGCGCTTTTCGCATGGCATCATATTCCTGATAGTCCCAATACGGCTTCTTACCTCACTACTCGCGAGAAGAAGATTGCGCGTCTGCGTCTGCGTCATGAAGTTACTTCGTCCCCCAATTCCAAAACCAAACCATCATCCGGTCTCAAAATCAAAGAAGTACTTCTTACTTTTCGCGATCCGAAAGTTTACCTCACAGCCCTCATGTTTTTCTTCTCCAACATGGCATTCAGCAGTATGCCCATCTTCCTCCCCACCATCCTAACGCACATGGGGCATTCTCCCTCCACTTCACAAGCCCTCTCCGCACCCCCCTATCTCCTCTCTTTCCTCTCCGTCCTCCTTACCTCCTACCTCTCAGATAAACTCCGCTCTCGCTCTCCCTTCCTCATCTTCCACGCTCTGCTCTCTTCTCTAGGTTACACCCTCCTCACTCTCCCTCCCCATCTTATCTCCCCCACTCTCCGCTACATCGCCATCTATCCCGCCTGCATGGGATTTTTCTCCGTCATCACAATTCTCATAACCTGGACCCTGAATAATCAGCGCTCGTCCTCGAGACAGGGAACGGGATTCGCAATCATGCAGATCGTGGGTCAGTGTGGACCGTTGGTAGGCACGAGATTGTATCCGGAGAGTCAGGCGCCGCTTTACAGAGAGGGAATGGGGGTTTGTGCGGGGGTTATGTTGATGGTGGCGGGGTTGGGGCTGGTACTGAGATGGTGGTTAGGGAGGGAAAATGAGAGGAGTGGGGGAGGTTATGGGAGGTTGGGTACAGAAGCGGGGGAGGGGGAGGGTGGTGGAAGTGAAGAGGAGAGGGGCTTGGTGGCGAATGAGAATGGGAAGGTGAAAGGGAGGGGGAGGGAAGGGAAAACGGCGTTTTTGTATATGTTGTGAGATGGTTGGGATATTTGGGATACTTGGCATTAGGATTTGTGAGAATGAAGTTCTTCTCGATGATGTGATACTTTTCGATTGTGATTGTGAGGCATCGACCAATATATTCACGTAAACGTTTTCTTATTTTCCTCGTGCGTGTACATGTTTGTATCCTATCATATCATATCATATCATCTCTACATACTTGTTAACCTACATGAGGTGGAGGGACAGGGGACAAGTGAACCCAGCCTAATGCCAGCGTTCCACTCTGTGTCTAGGTATTTCACGTCTAGAACTCCATGTCTATAATCTAGAATCCAATACATTGCATAAGGAATGTTTACATTATAGTTAAAAGGGAGGGTTTGATGAAATCCAAAATGAAAACAGCTGATTCGGGTTCTTTCGGTAGATAAGATAGGTCCTGAGTTATGCGTACAGAAGTATGTACCAGAATTGTCATTTATGTTTAGAGCATCTGGTAGGTTGAACGTATAAAAAGGTTCATAGTCTGAGAAAACTTTGATTGTCATTCGCTGGTTTAGTATATAGTATACTACGACTGAAACACTTCAATCTACCATTCTATTCATATCCAACCCTCACGCAACAAAAACCTAACCACTTTACCCCCATCTTCCTATCTTCCCATTTTCCCTCCTCCCCTTCTTCCTTCTTCTCTCCCACCCTAACACACAATCTATCTCTCATCCCCCACCCTCCCCCCAATCCTCCACCACCTCCTCCTCACATCCCACCACATCCCCTCCAACTCTCCAAACTTTCCCAAGCCCTTGATTTCCAACCTCGCCCCTTCCACCAACCACTCCTCCAATTCCACAAAACAGCATATGAAACGCCTCGCTTCTTGTCTCGATCCCTTCCACATACCTTTCGATCTTCCGATAGAATTTGCAGAAGAAACGAGAAGGATTTCCAACCCGGAAAGTTTCGAAATGAACGGTTTCAAAACTGTTATCACGGAAGCGAGAATATCTGCATCCATGTGTGTAGATGAAGTAGTCAGTTGTAAGTATTTAATTTTCCGAGTTGTATTGACTCCAAGACGAGTGAGTACATCATGCGACTAAATTCCAATTTTATCAGCAAATCTCTACTCCCATCCCATCTCACCTCATTTCATGTCACTCTCGCTAGAAGGAAAAGTACTTACCCGTCGCCCATGTCCACATACCCCATGACACCAAGAATTCACACAATGCTGATGTCTCCACGCTCCCTTGACCCTCTCCCCCCATCTCCAACTCTTCTCGTAATCTCTCCTCCGTTGATCACGCATCTGTTTACAGCATGCTGCGCAGTGTAGATCTTCGATATCGAATACCCAGTAGCGTGGTGAGCTGTAGTTGGCGATACAGCGGAGGATGCAGTAGTCGATGGATTGGTCTTCGACTTGGCTGTTACGTTTGGAACCGTGGATGGTGAGGTGCATTTTGTTTGGGGAGGTGGAGAGGAGGTAGTGCAGGACTGAGGATGCGGGGATGAGGGGTCGGGTGGTTGTGTTGGTTTTTGGGATCGGAGGGGGTGGTGAGGTGCTGTTGGGGAGAGATGATGGGTTTGAGGGTAGGGAAGAGATATGGGAGTTGGAAGATGGGTAGCCGAGTATCTTGAGTGTTTTCCGATGGGATATTCCGGAGACCCAGACGTCGAGACCGGGGGGTGGAGGTATTCGGATGGTTGGGATGATATCCCGGAATGGAGAGTCTGTTTTGGGATCTGTTTGGAGGAATGGTTTGGGTGAATAGTAGAAGTTGGTTTGGTCTTCTTCGGAGAGGAAAATTGGGAGTGAGTCGTGAAATGAGGGGGATATGAGTATTTGAGGGGTGGAAGACTGTGAAGTTAGGGGTTCTCCTGGGAGACTCATATTGGAATGCTTAGGTGATTGTGGTTGCGGTTCTGGTTGTAGTAATTATAGTGGTTTGGTACTGCGGGGACAATTGTTAGTCTCGGTCGTAGAGGTAATTGTATTCTGAATATTTCGAACAGGCTTATTACAATTTTGATCCTGATTATGGAAGTATTGGTGCTAGTAGTGGTAGTGATATCCCAGTGGCAGTAGTCCTGTTCCTTCTACTGATAGACAACATTATGATTTATACACTACAAGCGGTATCGATTGAAGTGCAAATTGAAGTGATAATCTTCCATTATTTTTGGATGGCGGTTTCCCGCAAATTTCGTCTCATCTGCCAGGTTAAGACTTCTCAGATGGGAAGGATAGATGGAAGTGCAGCGATGTTCAACAAGGCAAGTGCGCATATCATGTCGTCAATGAGGCCATAAGCTATAAAATCATTCTATTTTGCAAGCGACTTCCCTAGAAACCCAGAAGTAAAGTTCTCAAACCTGATTGCTCTTGTTTGCTTAGTTTTTAATTTTGGAACAGGTGCGATATGACTGGTTCTCAGAGGCAGACAGATTTTATCTATCTGGTTTTAGAGCAAGTAACCTGTGAGCGGATGGATGTCGTTGCTATTTCTGCTAGCTGCTATAAATGAACAAAATAGAGTTCTTCGTCTTCTATTCTTTTTCTCTAACACATGAACACCATTTATCGATCTTAAGTGAGCCCCATCCGGTGGTCAATTGCCATGCGAGAATATCTATCCTCCATCTACAAGTATTGAGACAAGTGAATCATCGACATTTCATGATCTAATCACCATGCAGCTCTCAATCTTCCTCCTCGTGGCCTTTTCGATATGTCAAAAAATCAATCAACGGACTCAGCAAAGCATCTATCGAGAAACCTAGAATGTCACTACTATTTACACGACAATAGCATAGATTGAGAAAGGTGAAACGCTTTTCGAAAGCAATTTCAACTCCTCCATAGGCTTGATAACTTGCTGTTATTCTTCTTTGTCAGAATCCCGATCAAAAAAATCAAGTGTCCTAAGCGTTGATGAACATTTGAGTGTGTGAGAAGTTGAGATGAAAATTGCACGAGACAACAAGGTGGTTTTGAATCACAATTCAAGCACGTCTTCTACTTGGCTTCAAAATGATGAACTCAACATAGTGTAAGAGCAGCTCCATCAGAGAATATTGCGTGTTTAGGACTGTTGTGAGGTGTTATCACTCTCTTTGGGCCACAAGTCAAGCTTGAACGAGGGTATATATATCGCTCGGCGGGCCAGGAGCATGTTCAAGAGTACGTCTTTCATCTTCAAGGTGGCCATTGTCATTTTTTATCACCACTATATAAAGCTTGACAGTCTTTGTGACCACTGGAGACTTTCTATCAGAAAGTAGAGCCTTCACCGCTAAAATGTTGGATCTTCAAGGTATAGTGATATTTGTACCTGCAGGTATATGAACGAGAAGACGCGGCGCTATTGACCTCACGACTGTGGGAATGTAGAGTACCGAAAAGATGTTTGCATGTAAAGATTTGTGTAAGTGATTTAGCACATTCATTCTTTCGCTTGTGTGTGATCCCTAGGTCACCGCATATTTGAGACCATTAGTAGGTGTACAGACTCAATCTCGCGAATAACTTCATTCAGAATGGTTGACCTGCGAATCAAGGGCCCTGATCGACTAAAGTGTGTGGCTTGCTGGCTGTTTCTTGACATATGGACAAACGAAATTTCATTTATCAATTCTCAATTTAATATGCTACAACTATTAACACACAGTACTTCAAGGGCAATGACCATAGATTCTCCAGCTGGCCTCGTTTCTAATGAATCATATATTGGCCGATAAAGCCTGCTCAACGACCACTGATCTGCTATAGAAATGTAAAGCTGATATAGCTGTCAAGTCATGACCGTTGAATAGACGCACTTCGACTAGATACAGCCAATGACTGTATCATCACATGGAAGATATATGATCAAGGACACACAGTCTTAATGAATTAAATGGAATCAACTGTATGAATTGAAATGAGCTTTTCATTATTGATTTCACGGTAGGCAGTCCAAAGAGCAATTGAAGGAAATGATCCGACAGCGATATAGGCACATCGTACAAGGTATTCTCAGCCTTTTGCATCCTCTATGCCGAGTCAAATAATTACACGTGATTCAGCTAACCAGACGCTGTGTAAGTAGACGCGCAAAGTTTTCATCTAAAGACCTGTCAATTATTGCGAACGCCGAACTACTAAGTTGCAATAATCCAGCGATATTAAACGGCAACTGAGAGAAACTGCCCAGCACTAACCTAGCTGTAACTTCTAAGGAGTGTGGGAGAGATATGGAACAGATGAAAGCTACCACACAATCATCGCCTCCATCCCACATCAATGTTCACAATAGCCACCACCACTTGAAGACTCATCATCTCATATTATTAGCCGGTCAAATTCCGGCCTATTTTAAAATATCATTGCAGTCAGGTACAGTCATGCCAACGCAGCATTCAACAATGAGAAACTCAATGCCATCGAGCCTCAGCCCATTCAGCTGTGCAAAATATTTATGGTCGGCAATGTCCTCGTTGGTAGTTTGCTAGGCCACGGTGACCGAGGAGATATTTGCAGATGGGAATATAATCTGATACACGATTGAAGCAATAGAAATGACTATAAGTAGGTAGGTACGGAAGTGGCGTTTTTGTAATCAATATAGCTCATTACCAGACAGCCTTAATTAAAGAATCTGTCCTGTTTGGGAAATATCTCGTTCATTGACACTAAGTAAGCAACAAGTTTACGGATGTACAAACATCTGTTGATATCTAATCTTCGACTACATATTGTCCAGAGTAATAATTATCTTTCAAGTGATCCCTGGGGTATGAGGACAAGTCCCCTGATTAAGCGATCAAGGGTATGAAGAAGCTTTTGACCACCATCACCAATCTTTGTATAGCTGTTTGTTTCCATCAGATCCTATTCACTTGTTTGAGAACCATTTTCATTATTATCTTACGTCAAATATGTGAGATCCTTTGAGATACATTTTCGCATGAGTACCACGCCGCACCGCCACATAAGGATTCAGGCATAATATCAACTCCGCCCCATACAAAGTGAGCATACACCTCATTAAGCCAGCAGCTACAGCATATAGCACCTGTTGGCTAATTTTATCTAATTTCCTTCAATCCTATCGTACACTTCCATTCCTATGGAAACGAAACCGTTATGCTGGGACCCAAGCTCTTTCTTTAACATCAGGACATGGCGGGGCGAGAATTTTGATGGTGGCGCAGACAGTTTCAAATTTTTTTGATCCTACCAAACCGTAGAGCTGGCATTCACCTACACCTAAAGAAGCTGACAGGTAGTAGTAAGAAGTCTTGATTCTAGATCAATGCATATGAATAGTGTAGTAAAATTCGAAAAGGAGGATAGCGAGCCGTGGTATTTTGATTTAATCCCAGGTGTTCCTAAATAAAGTCTGAACCACATCGGTTTTATTACTATCCCTGTAATTGAATGCATGTATTTCTAGAATAGCTAATGTAATATTAAAAGGCTTGGATACTGCGCTTCATTCTTCTGCTGTTTGCCTCTTATCTTGGTAGCTAGAAAAGCAGCCTTGCGAAATTTCTTCTCAATTACACGACTAATATGTCGTATTATGAGTCCTACGATACAAGAACATGTTTTTATATGTCTAATCTCTTCTGAGTAGCATCTTTCCTGGACTTCCGAGATGCCCACATAAGGTATAGCTGTGAATTCCAATAAACTGCTCTTTTAAAAAGCGTCCTCTTTGGGTAATTCACCAACAATGGTTAGTCGCCGAGGTATACTTACGAGGCAAACATCATAGTAGCCTGCGACCAGTTTCCCAGGCCCCGAGTTATGTTTGATCTCGACTCCTGAGGCACATGTGTTTCCAAACTCAACATTTCAAACCGGCATGAAGCTCTCACAAAGCAGCCTCATGATCATGAAAATTCTCACTTCAATACTGTAATGATTCACACTTGTGACCGTCTGTAATATTGAGTCACTTAAGTTTGAACACTGGAGTCATTGAGCGTGTGCTGAGTCTTGTATACCAAATTTATCGCAATGCAATGGATCTCCGAAGCTGTTGTTCTCGCCTACGCATCACACCCCTTTCTACTTTAGGCTTCCACCAGGCTACGTCAACTCAACGCCCTGGTATACGTATGCCCGCTTGTCACAGGAATAAATCGCTTGAAGTATTGAACGATATCACGACCTCGGTGAGAATGTGAGGAAGGTGCCAGCATCTATCTTCAACAATACAGCTTTGCGCTATTAAAATCATGGTATCAACATAGTCAAGGGTGTAACTTTTAAGACACCCTTGAAATTGTAACTTCTGCCTATTGAGACTGCCTCCAATGTTGTCTTGCATTCTGCTCAAAACTGCTGTGACATTGGGCTTGCTTACTCCTTGCTCGGATTCAATTACCGGCAGCCGTGGAAGGCTCTAGCTTCAAGAGTGAAGGGTAAATTAGTATGATAGTCATCGATAGCATTGAAAGCCTACACATAATTAATTACATAGTACATAAATTAGCTTGGGCAAACAAGATCTACTTCCAATCTCAAGACACACATACTAGCCTATGTATCTGCTCAATCGTTCTACTCTCCAATTATTCATTCCATGGACCTTCCCGATATGGGAATCATTTTGGTCGCTCGCGATCTTCTTACTCACCCTCCTTTACAGATACGTCTAAGCTTCAAACTCTAATGTATTTCTTATTTCTACATCGTTACCCTTAACAATTCAATGGTTTGCCCCACTAGAGAACTTACACTTGACACTTCTCCGGCTTATTCCTTTCTCAGAGAGATACACTCTGACAGTTTACCTAGACAAGTGCTAATTCCAGGGCCTCATAGTTTCCTACTAACTGGGTAGCAATGGACCCCCTTAACAAGATGCCAAGCTCATGCTATCCTATCTCCCAATCGACACG